GTGTGCCTTAGGCAGTCTCAGGATTAGAAATAGGAAGGATTTTTAGTTCAGTCGGCTCAGGAGTGTGTGATTCGAGCGCCATCTTGTGGCGTCTGACACAAATCCATCTTCTGTTGGACCACAGGTTCTGTTTGAGCTTTACAGTTCAGAGTATTAAGTGATGAGCCCTGTTTTTAATTTAAAAACAGACCGTTAACAAGGTTCTCTTTGAGAAATGTAAACGGTAAATAATTACAAAATAATGTTTTTGGTACACTGTACTCCCAAGCAAGAGTGGATAGAAACTGCAAGATGAATGTGTATAAACACAACAAAAAGCACAGTGTGTGTTTAATAGTGACCGCCCCAGCAAAACTATCAAATCAATAAGCGCTGCAACAATGTCTCAACCAATCGTTCCACCGATTGACGGAAAAATAATAGCCAACTAGTTCGATAATCTATTAATGGTGAGTATTATTTCCTGCAAATGCTGAAAATGCAGCATTCACCTTTTTTAAATCTGGAGATTTGAATCCTGCTTTTGTTTGTCTTTTATCATATTAACTGAATATCTTAGGTTACTTTAGTCTCTTCCAATATTTTTTGATTGATAAAAGATGTGACACAACCTGAAGCCTGGCACTGGACGTAGTTACTTTAGGTCGATTATCATTGACGGAGCCTAGCCTGTGACGTGAAATGTCTGAAAATGAAAAAATTATGACAAAACAGACTGTGGGCTGAGTTTCTCATGGAACAAGTCCCGTGGCCCAAAATGTAACTTGAAAACACAAAAGAGAAGGATAAAAAACATAACACAGTTGATAAAATGAAAAATAGTATTTATGAGATGAATGAAATGGGAAATTACACAAATATAAGCACACAGTTTGGCAAGAACAACATAAAAACAGCTCTAAAAATTTGTATGCTAATGGAGCAGGACATCTGTGATATGTCATCTTCAGAAACACTGTATTGCTGTTTTCTTTGGCTTTTTTCAATTGTAATTTTCACTACCTGCTTTATCAATAATACCTAATTTCCTACATATATTTAGAAATATCCTATTGTTGCAAAATAATCGTTTTGAGCGTGGTACCACAGATATCTTTGGCATTGTTGACTTCACCCACACATCTCTATAAGACTGTACCTTTTGATAGTTTTAACTTGTCTTACTTATATTTAGTTTTACAGACCAATAACACTGTGTGGCTGACTGTTTATTAATGTTCTCCTGATGTCTCTCCCTTTTACCTCAGTCTCCTCCCAGTAAGAAGCGTAAACTGGAGAAGGCGAAGAAGCCGCTTTCCTTCGTACTGCCTAAGGCGGGACTGAAGGAGCTGCAGGCCAAAGCCAAGGCTTTAGGCGGCGCTGCCCGCGGCGGCCCGGTGGACAGCATCGGTGCTCTGCTGGAGAAAACACTCTCTGACCTGAGGGTAAGCTTCAGAGCTGCACTAACACTAAATAGCTGAACGTTACAGAACCGAACCACAGATAGAAGAGTTCAACCTAACGGGTAACATCTGTACTTTTCAACCTGTACCACATTTCTACATGTTTTTGTGTATAAATGAGATTTCATTACGATACTTGTAGATTCTTCTAGATCGAGACTTCTTAAGACACACTGACAAACAGACCATATCTAGCAAAAGCTCCTTTTTAAGATTGTTGTCCGACACATAAATCGATGTCCCAGTTAGTCACTTATGGCCCATTTCCACTACAGGGCCTCGCTCGGTATGGCTAGGCCTCGTTAGGCCTTGTTAGGACTGGCTCACTTTATGCTGCGTTTCCATTACAGTTTTGGAACTGGGCTAGTATCTATAGTAACGCAGTGTAGGCGGAGCCGTGACGTCATCTTCAATGAGAACTACAGAAAACCAACATCAGCCGTTAGTTGTTAGCACTCAGAGCTCACAGCTCCTCATATCTGTTCAGAAACTAGACAAAAGTGAAACAAGTACAAACCACAGACTGTCTGTGTCATGGCGAATACAGTCGCTGGTTTGTTTATGTCTGTATAGGCCGTTGTTGTGAGTGTGGACGGTCGGAGCATACACTGCGTTAGCTTAGCCCATCTCCATTCAGAAAACACGTATTTTAAAAGGTTTTTCGCCTGTCGTCTGTCTGCAGACTTGTCAAAGCATTAATTCATGGTTTTTACTAACCGGTATCAGTATGTTGTTACTTCGGCATCATTTAGAAACGTGTATTACAATTAAATCACAGTCAAATATGTTCATCTTGTTGTAGTTGTAGCCCCGTGGTTGTTGACCCGGAAAGAACCTCAATTTTATGGGGNGCTCCATTTAGAAAACACGCATTTTAAAAGGTTTTCTCTGCCGTCGGTCTGGAGACTTGTCAAAGCATTAATTCATGGTTTTTACTAACCGGTATCAGTATGTTGTTACTTCGCCATCATTTAGAAACGTGTATTACAATTAAATCACAGTCAAATATGTTCATCTTGTTGTAGTTGTAGCCCCGTGGTTGTTGACCCGGAAAGAACCTCAATTTTATGGGGACAGAAAAACTGTGAAATAGTACCCGCTTGCCGGAACTACGCCAAGTGGAAACGCAACCAAAAACAGGACTGGGCCCCGCACGCTTAAAGCGAGCTCCGCGCTGTAGTGGAAATGCGCCATTAGACATAAAACATGGGAAATAGGGTCCATGTTGATAATATCAAAGTTACCATCCAATTTAAGTTTAGCTTTCACCCTTTCTAAAGGTTTAGACCTGATGGACTTTACTATTGCTAATAAATATTCTCTGTAGAGTTCTCCATGCTCTTTTCACTCCATGTAATGTTAAACAGAGGTACGTTTTGCTTAACCACAACGCCCTTGCTTGCATTTCGCACATGCTTTTTAGTTATCCAATGAGAGGGGAAGAGCAATGGGGTCTGTCATCACCCCAAATTTTAATTAGGATGGAACAGGTAATAGTTAACAATATAATGTTCATTTGGTAACAAAAATTAGGGCTTTTTAAACACAGGAAACCTGCTGAAAACAGACAATATCATTGCAAGAATGCATTGTTAGTTGTTCCATATTTAATTTCTCTTTCAAACCAGAGAAACTGTAAAGACTAACGCATTGTTTTTGGATGAGTTTATGTTTGAATGAGATTCTCTTTATGCATTAGTGGTTTTTTGCACTGTTCAGCTAATGGTCANATTTAAATTAGGATGGAACAGGTAATAGTTAACAATATAATGTTCATTTGGTAACAAAAATTAGGGTTTTTTAAACACAGGAAACCTGCTGAAAACAGACAATATCATTGCAAGAATGCATTGTTAGTTGACACCATGGAATTAAGGTTGTTTCTCTTCTTTTTTTATATATATATGTGTTCCATATTTAATTTCTCTTTCAAACCAGAGAAACTGTAAAGAGTCACGCATTGTTTTTGGATGAGTTTCATTTAGTTTATGTTTGAATGAGATTCTCTTTATGCATTAGTGGTTTTTTGCACTGTTCAGCTAATGGTCACACTTTTCAAGCAATTGATAAGTTCAATACATTCCTACATCTCCACTAAATGTTACCATTACTCAGATTGTCTTCTGTGTGGCTCTGCAGGTGATACACAAACGAGTCCCATGCAGTAAGCAGGAGCAGAGTCTCCTCCTCACAGCTGTGGAGAACACCTGGATCCACTCACGAGAGAAGAGACGTGAGGGCTCGCGTCAGCTGCGAGAGCTTCCCCGTGCTCCTCACCGCGCTGCAACCAGCTCTGCAACCAGCTCTGCAACCAGCTCTGCAACCAGCTCTCAGACCCCTCTGACCACAGCTGCTCCTGCAACAAACCCCACATTTCAAAACCAGTCCTCTAAAAACAGCACCACCCCCCAGGTGGAAGGTGCTCAAAACAAAGCTGGGTCTGCACAGGAGCCAGAGAGGGCAGAGAATGGCTCCTCTTTAAAGGAGACAAGTCAAGATGTGAAGCTCAATCCAACTGCAGAACAGAAAGACGTGTTGGAGGATGTATCAGGTGAAGACATGGAGTTGTCTACCTGCTCAGAGACGGGGCAGGAAGCAGGCCCACAGGAAGCACCGGTCCCAGCGCAGGAACCGCCCTCTAAGCGACCCAAGAGCCCCGCCGCCCCCGAACACTTCCTGTTTAAATGTCTGCTGAACGTGATGATGGAGGAGTGCGACGTGGTGATCGAGATGCACTGGGTCGAGGGTCAGAGCAGAGACCTGATGAACCAACTGTGCACATACCTGAAGAACTCCCTTTTAAGGTGTATTGCGAAGCCGTAAATGAGCAGAAATATTTTTTTATTGGATTATTGAATTCCTTTGGTTTGTTCCAAAGATAATCCACATTATTTTATGCTATGTACTAGGTCAGTTTACCTTGTAAGACAAACTGTATATTGGTGTTTTGAGTTATAATATGTCTAAACATTTGCAATAAATGTGACTTTCTTTTTAAACAAGGTTTTTTAGTTTTACTTTATAAGAACTAATGACAATGACCAACTTTGTCCCCCTAACCATTACCCTTCCCAATAGCAAGGTTTTACACTAACAAAACCAAAAAGACATAGATGGCATAAATTACATGTAACATAAATGATTATGTTATGATGCAGTACATTTAAATGTCCAATAGAGGACAGTGTGTTTTTCTTTTATTATATTTTGTATTAAGATGAAACCCTTTAATTTATTTTTTAGACTTTGTCTTTTTGAATAGCTTCATGGATCCCAATGTATCTTAACATTAGGCATGTTTTAATGTACATGCAGCCTGTTTAATTCAGGATGTTCCTGGAGCCGCTGAGTTCTTCCTGCTCCGGGAACCTTTAGTATTGTGGTTCACTATTATTACTCTACTGTAGGCCCCATACTTCCTGACCCCATCTGAATAACAGGAAAAGACACATAAATATCGAGGGTCATGTGTATGCATGTGCACATTCACTTTGTGTTGCAAGCAAAAACCCAGTTCCTACTTCTACAACATGTCCCCGGTTATACCAGGACTTTGACTCCACCGGCCTCTGTGTGTCAATAGTCTTGCTATTTTGGCGCCATTTCGGGCTGATGTAATTAGATTACTTATATAATTAAATCAACCTATAATGAAATGATTATTGGTTCCTCTTTTAGGACAATAATCAAAGTAAATTGCCAAACGATTGCTGGCTCTGACCCTCAGATGTGAGTATGATGCTTTGGTTTTGAAATATTAGCTGGGTTTTGATGCAAGAGTCCATACAGTATCATATGTCTACTGGTCTATATTTTTCTAATCCCTAACCAAGTAATCAAATTGGTAAATGTAACAATTTAATTGTGAAGTTATAGTTACAGCGTCAATATCAGGTGGAGGAGAATGCACTTAATATTTATTTAGTAAAAGTAGCATTACCACAGTATAGACAAGTGCAAATCCTGCATTCAAAATATAAAGTAAAAGTACAAAAGTGTGCTTCAAAATATACCTGAGTACCAAAAGTACTTGTTAGGCAGAATGTCCCAGTGCAAAAGTATCTAGTACACTTTTTTGACAATGAATGAATGAGGACTAGTTGAATGTTTAATAGAAGAAACAGATGTAAAGCGCCATGTTTAATGGTGTTGCGCAACAGCGATAACTTAAACTGTTTTAATGTGTTTTACCCTTAGCTGGGCTGTTTTGGCATCTTTTTCACGTATGTTCAATCTATCTTGATTTAAAGCCTGGCCGCGACAGAGGTACAGCACTTGTCTCCATTGTGTGCAAACTTTGTTTTTCTTAACGCTGATTGGCTGCTAAACAATTCATCAATGAGAGATGTAGATGTGCTGCAGTCATGGTAACTAGTAAATTACGGAGGCGGATGTCTCGTGACGGTTACATTTACCTTAAACCCAAAGTCGACAAAATAATACTATTTATGTAGGTAGGCTATGATAAGGAAAATTACAACATATTTCTAAAACCTTGAAAACGAGTATAGCCATACTGTGGGCACATAAAACTAGCAACTTTGAAATATGTATTAATGTGAGCTTAAGAAATGCACACTTTCCGTTGCTGCCCATGTGTGTCAACCATAGTTGTCAATAATATTGTGTTATTATCTTGTGTTATATTTAAGTTCTCAATATAACACACTATTAACGCTGTGCAGGGGGGAAATAGACGTTGGAAGTAGGCTAGCGTTGAGTTAACATTTCCCAAACAAGCCACAGGTAGTCATTAGACACGATTATAAACATTCTTATACAAGTATAATATTGTGTAAGGTATTTAAATGATTATCTAAAAAGCCATAAGTAATTATATATATATATTGTTTAAATATGCCTCCTTGTTGAGCAACCCGCTCTTAATTGACATATAACAGACACTGTTGCAGCATGTCTTTTTCTACATTTTTATAAATAAAATACATTTAAAAGTGGTCAATGGATGCTAGCGACTGTGAGTGGAGCTTTATAACACAGTTGTTAATCCAATCCAAATCACTGTCCGTGTTTTGTCGTGTCCTCGGTTATGTGCAATGGGAGAGAGTGAGTCTGTGGGCGGTTACAAACGCTACGTGATTCACAAACCTTATTTGTTCCTACTACTTTGAGCGCCATCTTGTTTGTAACTCTTCTACGTAAGTGGTAGAGTTTCTACCGAGGGGGTATCCGATTACCCTTCTTCCAGCATTAGACTGGGATCCTCTCCCTGTAGTACTCGGGCGGATATCGCATTTGCTTTATCGCCTTCTCTTTGAAAGATTAGGCCACAGTGTTTCTAAGTGGACAGAAATGAGCATCGAAACGCTTCTGGAAGCAGCCAAGTTTTTGGAATTGCAAGCCCAGCAACAACAGAAAGCACGTGGTAAGTTGGTGTTTTTTTTAATAAATATAGTTAATGTTTTTACAACATGGTTTACTATGAAATATTAAAAAGAAAGGCTTAACAGGTCAGTTAAATGTATCTCTAAAGGATTTATTTTTCTGAGTTATGGACAAACCATATCTATCAGCGCCATTCATGAAATAATTACAGAATGAACAATCGTCGGTTTGTAGCTTTATGAAAACATGGTAAAATACTGAGTGCAGTTATGTTTTAGTCAGTCAGTGACATTTTCGTTCTACTTTCGTTTACAGACGCATTGCACAATTAGGTTTTCTCCTGGTGTAACAGTGTGGTTTAGTGTTAACCTAATTCATAAAGACAAATACCATATAAACATACAAGGGTTGCTGCAGTATCAGGGCTCACTGCATTGAAACCTGCTGCATAGACATAGTTGTTTCAAAGGCAGCATCACTGTAAAGTTATCAAATAGTAACCTTTCATTGTCACCATATTTGTGACTGCACTGCTTCGAGACATTTGCATTTAAATCACCAAAACATGCGGGGATCAAGGGCGGTGGCGCAGGGAAGCTCGTTTTACATAATGATGACCTGACGTCGTCGCTGGGGGATCAAGAGGCTTAAGGCTTCCCCTATGTGCTTTTTATTCATTCTTGCTTCCTCGCAAATGTTAAGTGTTGTAGTCCTAAAACAGCTTGTTTATCAATCATTAAGACTCATTGTTTGGCTCTTAAATGGAAAAAAAACCCACAAACTCCATGGCCTTTCAGTCGCTCGTGGCTTTGGGTGTCTGTCGGTGACTTGTATCAGACAACCACGCCTCCATATGTTATCAGCCCCGCCCCTTTCACCACGTGCGTGCCGGGCTACCCCTCCCAGAGATGGGTTACGAGGAGGATGAGTCACTACTAAATGCAGTCTGGAAAAAAACTGACCACCTCCTCGAAGTTAAAACATTTAATTATTTTGTAAAAAACAAAATCTGCACCAGAAAGGCAAACAGATGCTGCTGCTCGGTGACTGAAGCAAAGACATGAACTGTGCACCAACTGCAAGACTAAATGCAGAATGAATATACAATGAACAGGGGTGTTGCAAAATACCAGGTTTGACATTAAGTGTGTTTTAAATGAATCAAATCAAAGATGATTTTGTTAAAGAAATATGCATTACTATTACCTTCACAACTGCACTTATTAGACACAACCAGTATATAACTATTGTTGGAAACAATGCCTTTACAAAAAAGTATTATTGGTTTGTGTGTAATTTGATTAAAGGAAGCTGAGATTAGTTAAATCGAACATGACAGTGGAAGATATCTTTTAAACTACAGCACATTGATAGCAGAGTTTCCACAACTGTTGAGCCCCTTTCACAAATCCATTGTAATCTGTGTGTTACTTGCCTAAATTGCTCTGTCAATTGCATTAGTAGCATTTCTATAACATACCTACCCCTACAACACATTTAAAGCGTGTACCACACCTAGATGATAGAGATGTTTTTGTAGCTACTTTTGTATCAGGCTTGAAAATGGTTCAACACTGAATGTATGGAAATGCTGTTGCTGCACGCTAATGAATAGATGACAGGAAAGCTCAGGCGTGTCACAAGCGTGTACTTTTACTTTGGACAGTTTATATAAATAATTTCTATTGATAACAATTATGTGTAAAAGCCAAAATGGTTATACTTTAGCAAGCAGGTATCATGCATCATGAAAAGACTGCAGCTTTATCAGAAAGGCTCAGAGTGAGAGCTCCTCCTCATCGCTCAGAGTGAGAGCTACTCTCCCAGCTCCTCCCGCCATGCTGCATTGGGAGAGCAGAGCCCCCCCCCCCCCCCCC